AATAATCCATACCATTATGTTCACATGACGAGCTCCATCTATGACTTTTTATTGTAAAAAGTGAAAGAAAAAAGAGAGATGTTTATGTCTTTATTTTTAGAAACTAAACATAACGGTGGTAGGATTTTTGCATCAGACTGTCAACAGGAACCAACACAATATATGTGTTAGATGTCGCAACACATATATGTCAGTGAATTCATATAAACTAATTTAATCCTTGGAGCTCTGCGAGGTGTCCCACATTCAACATTAAAATTCTTCTTAGAAAAGCAGCAGGCCCCATTCTGACTCAGAAAATTATTGCTTTAATAGAGCAGTACTGAATACAGTACAAAATGAGCACCTTAGAATCCCATTCATGTCATCAGTAATTTGTAGTTTCTCATTCAARTAAGTCAGGGAAAGAAATTTTTAAAGTCCAGCTTTAGACCTTTTTTGACACAAAGTCAGTGATTTGTGTCATTTARCGTTATGTCGGTGTAGGAGAGCTGAACGTCTGAAACTGACAGAGACGTGAGTGGGTGTGACTGATCATTTTGATGTTTTTCCACTTTGTTGAACAAACCGTTAAGTGTAATATGTACTGTATAAAATCTTAGCAATTAAATTTCACAAACCACAGGTCAGAACTGAGGTGTTCTTTAATGCCTCTTCACGCCAAAGAGGTCTGTGTTTGAATCTCTGTGCAAGACCTCCTCAGTTGTAAATATTAATATATACAAGTGAATAAAATGACACACAACTGCTTATACGTTTTAGTAACAGCGACGCTGGGCAGAAACAAACAAAAAAATGTTTGTGTGCAGATTCTCCCCCATCCAAGTCATGGTCATTTTAAGTTCTTGCAAAGGAGGAAGGAAAATCAACTTTTTTTTCTTTTTCCTGAAGAAATTTGCCCTCTCATTCAGAAGAGTTCTCAAAAAGACACAAAAAAGKGTTTGGATCGGAGGTGAAACGACTTCAAGAACAAAACTCCAAATACCCTTTATTCAAGCGACACAAACAGGACTTGAGAAAGGCTTTTCTTACACTTAGATTATTAATTTATTTATTTGCATAGAAGTAGAAATCCTGGCCTTGTTTTCTTTTCTTTTCTTTTCAATCCACTGAGTTTGCTGACTACGTATGAAGAGAAACTTTTTAAATTAAAAATGAAGATTTGTGCACTACAGCTGAGCGATCCATAGGTAAACCCTTTTGGGTCTAAAATAACCGTCTATTTAGATTCTGAGAATATAGCCAGCGTAGGGCTTAAGGAGGCTTTACAATGTAGCTGCACTGTCTAGGCACAGGCTGCCAACTTCCTTAACCACATATTAAACCTTGGTTCACCTATCAATCTTCCTGACAGGGACATTTAAGCGAGCAATATGGATGCCATCAAAGCATTGAAATGCTTAAACGACCTGGTATGACTGGTGTAAGCAAGCGAGAACAGATCTCCTTCCCATAGCAACTATCCCTACACTTAAGGCTGATGTCATGTTACTTTCTTAGAGCATTATAGAGAGAGACAGGGTGTGTTTACTACAGCCCCTCCGGCTTCAGATAAAATATTCATGAAGACAAATAGTATTCAGTCTGGTCTGCAGCCACGGCATGAAAGTCAAATTTGGCCATCTGCACCAAAACAGGGGATTATGAGCTCTGAGAGACCTCATTTAGGCCTGACGCAACACTATAGGGATGGTAAAAAGTTACGGTAACGCAAACGGATTCAGGCAAAAGCTATGGTTTATTACACCGTGGTTTGTCAAAGTGCTAAAGTTTGCAGCTTAGGAAAAAATTGCTGCAATTAGCACCGGTCCAAGAAGAGCAAATAAATCCAGTTTGCTGCTGCCTTGGCAAGATCGATAAGTATCAGGCTGTTTTTTTTTTTTTTTTTGTGTGCATGCCGCCTCTAGGAAACAGCCATAACCTCCCACTCAACACTCAGGTGTGACAAAAGCTTTCACTTTCTTTGCTTTAATTTGTTTCCAAAGTCACTGACAGCCATATCAATAAAAGCATACACCAACAATGTGAGGTTGTTTGACCTCGGAGGACAATCCAATTGTTCCAGTAGCAAAAAAAATAAATAAATAAAACAAAATGAAACAGGTGTCTCGTGTGATATTAGCGTCTCACAAGACAAGAACAGTCCTTACCTAGAAGTGAACGCCTGCGAGTCTGTGAGCTGCCACATCCGGCGCATTCAGAAAACTTGGACCAAGCAGTGAGAGCGCAGTCATCTTTGCAAGCCACCCGGCACTCTCTGATCTGAGACGGGAGGGGACCAGCCCACTGCAAGCACTCGGTCATATTGGCCGGCTCTCCTTTCTCCCCGACACAACTGACCCCTGCAAACAGACAACAATTTATTCCAATTTCCTCAACAAGTTAATGCAGGTACTAGTATTGTAATGATATGTGGTCTCACAGCAGAACAAAACACTTSGCGTATTTCTTACATTTCTTTTTTCATTGCAAATAAAACAAAGAAGCACAAACTGGATTTTTTATAGGCTATAATTAAATTGACAGTGTAACTCAATGCAAACTCTCACCAGAAACAAATATTCCAATTTTCAGATCCAGAAACCATTTACCATTTTTAGTTCTTTCTTTTTCTTTTCTTTTTTTTTTTCGGTGCATGTTTTTAGGAGTATTTTTCGCTCAGTTTAGCTCCTTGCTGGTCAATGAGTCTGCTAAATCTGTGCAAGAGGAAGGAGGGACACTTGTACACACCACCGAATTTCCAGATGAGCGGACCTCAGCTTCAGCAAAACACATAAACTTTCAGTCTAACAAAGTCACCCCCCCAAAAAAGGGAGAATTTCTCATGCAAACGCCTCAGTGTCTTTGAGGATCCACTGATCTCCAAACATGCCTTGAATCCATTGTATTGATTTAGATTTGACTTTTAAATTTTGCCCCCTGCCAAATCCTGCCTGGTTTCTACATGTCTGCCAAGGATGCGTGGGGTATATTTACATACAAGACACCTAAAGGATGAAAGCTGTTATTAAYGTACGGTTATGTAAAACTCTAAATCACAAAAGAAAACGAGGATCTTTTATTCAGAATACACAATGAAAGGTTGAAAAAGTTCAAGTTTTAAGGACGCATTAGAGTTTAATATGAATTTTCCAACAAACAGTTTGAAAAATAAAAGTCATCTTTCAAAGAAGCTGGAGAACAGTTCAGCTGTTATCACTGCAGGATTGATTGCATGACTTCATTAACATTTTTATTTCTGTTTTAATACCTTTCCTCTCCACCACTGACAACCTCATTCTGTCATCCTTAGTGACTTTTATTAGCACAGCCCCTCTGACTTTGAACTCTCGGCCATCCTTTTTAACATAATTATTTTAGTTTCAGACTGCTCGCGGCCATTTGTGTGGCCTTTAGAAASTCTCTTCTCTCAAATGGTTACAATTTCCTCTCTGTGTTTCTGCCTGTGCCATGAATTGTCTGTGTTTATACAGCTCCTAACGAATGAGCATCTCTGGTACCCGTTTTAAAAYGCCACATCTTGTTTTCACCACTCAGGTTTTAAAGATTGGCAAGTTAAGGTTGTTGAGGTAAAAAGGCATATTTTAAAAATCTGACTCTTTACACAACTCGGAAAAAATCATACCCACCCACTTACCTAACATCAGATATAATTTCCACAATAATTCTGCTGCACTGCTTGTATAATGTTTAAAGCACTTTATAAAACATAAACTTAGATAATCATGGCCAATAAGCCACATCACTTCTGCAGATAAAGATCACGAGCATGATTCATTTTCCATTTTAACACCTCCAATTCCACAAAAAAAGAACTCTATTGCATCATGATGGTTATTGATTACTCATAAATTATTAAATAATGTTTTACAAAGGTTTTGCAGGTTGGTATGATAGATTTATCGAAGCTAACAATGAGAATTAATCTCAATGTGCTCAAAATTTTCAGACACTCTGAGCTTTTAGAACATATTTCATCTCTTTTTTGGGGTAATGCATCAGGACGAAGAGTATTATATTAAACTCGTGGCTTTTTTAAAGCAATTAAAACAAACACGAAACAATTAAATAAACGTCCACAATAGGGCTCCATTGCTTCTCATTTTCTTGTAGTTTTTGAGAAGCTTCAAATAGAAAAACAGCTTTATACAACCTGTATGGTTTCAGGGTAAATGGTGTGTGTCAAAGTGCAAACTAGGAAATTGTCCATTTACCCGCTGAAAAAAGATTGTGTCAAGGCATAGAAGAAGGACATTTTTTTCTGTATTCTCTGTGTCCCAAAGCACATAAGCCTCCATGATTCTAAAATAGAAGAAACTGGAAACCATAAATGGTTTTATACATGTGACCTTCTAGCCAAACAGAGTCATTAAGGCCAGAAGGTCTTGGTCCAAGCTACTGGCTACGATACAATGTGTGTGTGTGTGTGTGTGTACGCGTGTGTGTGTGTGGGAGAAACCGGGCAATGAGCATCACCTCATTACCACTGTCCCTACAGTTAAACTCGCTGATGGCAGCATTATACTGTTGGGATGTGTTTCTGCAACTTGGATGCCAGTCAAGACAGAGGGAAAGATGGGCTGCACAAAAATACAACGCAGAATAAATCTGAGTCAAAACTTCATTTTGTTTTGAATCGGTTAAGTTAGATTTAGATTTTTTTTTAAAAAAACCAATTACAGATGTATTTTAATCCAGGGTATAGGATCATGGAATGGTCTGGAAGATGATCTTAAAAATGCTAGATCAATGTATATATTTAGGCTACACATTCTCACTCCCAACTCGTCACATATTGACGTTYAAGGTAAGGTTCCCTCTGCGTCTTATTTGGACGCAGAAGGTACCCC